GTATAGGAAATAGACTCTGGAGTTGAGACAGTGTGTGTACAGGAAGTAGACTCTGGAGTTGAGACAGTGTGTATAGGAAATAGACTCTGGAGTTGGACTGTGTGTATCTTTAGACCTTGTCATTGATGGAGTAGAGGAAAAGGGCAGGTGACGAGGAGAAAGTGGAAACAGACAGGAGCCAAACACTAGGAAAGTACAGTGGGTGATGAGCCAGCCCAGGGCTCTTCAGTGCTGAAGGTCCCTGCTTTGCACACACTCAGTGGCCAATTCGTTTTCTCCTGACAGTGTATGCTTATTTGAAATCGTGCTGATAAATCTTTGTTCTCCACATTATTCTCCATTCTGTTTTCTAAGAAACATTTCTAGTGTTTAAAGCATGCTTTAAACCTGTCCACACTGCTTATCACTTTCCCTGTGAGTCTTAGGCCATTGTGCTGCCCTTACAGAATCCTGGAGCATAGGTAACTCAAAAAGAATGGAATTTATCCTCCCAGCGTTATGGAAGCTGGGAGGTCAAAGTTGAAGACTGTGTTAGGTCCACTCTGCATCCCGGTGGCACCTTGAATACTTTGTCCTGCGGAGGGAGACATTGGGTGCTCACACGGCAGAGAAGCAGGAGAAGCCTGTTTTGTGCCGTTGCGTTCTGAGAGCCAACAGGTCCTCTCTTACTTAGGGTCTGCCTCCCAACACCGTTGGCCCGGGGTTACGTTTCAGCGTGTGTCTTAGAGAGGCCAAACCTCCTACGCATCCTGCGGTGACATGTCCTCTGGTGTCTAAAGTATGAAGGCGTATCCATCTCCGTGTTTGACCTGCTCCCACTCTGGTTCTCCAGGTTATTCCTGGTAAAGGAGGGACTCCGGGAGTCTGGGTCTGGGGACTGACTGGATTGAGCTGAACTGGAAAAATGCAGCAGGCATCTTAAGGAGCAGTAACAAAGCGGCAGGCAGAGCTCCAGCCCAGCTCGGCCAGCACGCTGGGCTCCCCTCCAGAGGAAGCCCGCTTCCTTCCGCAGGGCACCGTCGCTCGCATTTATCTCCTGCTGCCCCGCTACAGAGGATCGAGGTGGATGTGACATGTTTTCAAAAACTCTCCCCCAACATGACAAGCAGAATTCTATCTCCTGCGCAGCTGGCGAGGGAAGGCCTCCCGTGCTCCCTTTGTCCTTTGTCCTGCCCTGAGTGGACTGGAGTGTTGGTCCCCCACCTGTCCCTCAGCCCTTTCCTTGCTCCAGGGGACAGCCTATGTCTTGACTGACACTACACTGCCATTTGTTTCTTTCCAGTGCTTTTAGGAAAAATTTCAAGTGTGGGAGAAAGTTGAAACGGTTTTCCATTGAACATCAGGAAGCACCATTGGATTCTGTAACATCTTTAAATACCCGGTTATGACAGGTTCACCGGGTAGTCTATCTTATGTCTTACGTGTTTCAGGATAGTGGGTCCCTATCTTGTTTCCCTGCTTGTGAATCTTTGGTCTCTGTTGAGGTAGTTGGGATTGAAGCAGGTGTGGAAGGAGGACAGTGGTGGAGACAGGCTGGGTCCTGCTGTGTGGTGGATGTCCGTGGAGACCGGTGAAGTGAGTGCGACCACACCGTCCTTTACAGCCGGGCACTTTGGAGGCACACACTGTCCTAGGCACACGTGACCCCAGGTTTTAGATGGACTTCCGGAGGGAGATTGTCCAGGAGACACTTAGAGCTGGGAATTGACAGAACCTGGGCTGGTGGCTGATATGGGAAGACTGCCACAAGTGAGGTCTGGGCCGCCCTGGGCTACAGGGAGAGACCCTGTCCCGAGCTACACAGATATTCTGCATTAGGGTGGAATATGATCCTGGCTTTGATCCCAGCATCATACACGCATATGCACACGCACATGCACACATGCGCGCACACTTTTTATAACCATAGTTCTCTCTGGTGAGACATGTCTCATAGTGCCTCAGGGAACACAACAATTTCTCATTGCTCAAGGCTCCACCTGGATAAGCTGAAAGAACAGCCTTCCTCATACCACAGAACAACTCCCTTCAGTCTGTTTTCTCTTCATTCATTCATTCATTCATTCATTCATTCATTCATGCATGCATGTGTCTGTGTGAGGGGTGTGCATGTAAATGTGCGTGCATGTTTGCTCACTTGGACATGTGTTCCATTGTGCTTACATATGTATGCATGTAATGTGGAGACCTAAGGCTGACACCAGAAGTCTTCCTCAGTTGCTGTTCACCTTATTTATTAAGGCGGGCGGGGGTCTCAGCTGAGTCCGGAGCCTGCTGATTGGACTAGCCTCGTTACTTCACTTGCTCTAGGATCCCCTGTCTCTGCCATCCGAGAACTAGAATTAAAAGGGGTCAGCATTACCAGGCATGTATGTGGGTGATGGGGATCCAAGCTCCAAGCCTTGTGCTTGTGGGACACTCAGTGACCCACTTTGAAAGTCTGGAAATCACAGCTGTTTAGGTAACTTGGCTCGCATACACCGCCCTGTGTAACTCCTGGGCCAGTGGAAAGTATGGGAGAGAGCCAGTGTCTGCCACGTGAGTCTCGGGTTTCCAAGTTCAATTGCTAGAGACACCGTTATCAGAAGTCGTCCCGCGGCCAGCTGCTGGACTGATGAGCGCTTGACCACCAGAGTTTCTCTTACGTGTGAACCCGGCATGGTGCGCCTGACCAACACCTCCGTTCCCGGGTGTACCCGTTATAAACACCTGTGTCTACTCGGGACTATCAACAAAAAGCATGGCTTTTTCTTTCTTAATGAAACGTGTGTTTGGAATTGTGTTTTAGGACTAACCTCTAAGGGCAGGCAGTGTGTGCAGGGCTGTGGCCACTGGGGTTCCCGAGGGGACAAGTGTCCTGAACTGTCCTCCTCTCCTCCACCAGCCACAGCCACTGTCAGGCTCACACCGTTTACAAGCAAGCTAAAGGTTGTTTAGGTTTTGTGTGTGACCTGCATTTGTAACTTCCTCCTTTCCTGTCCACTCCCTGCAGGCGCGGGTTATGTATGATTTTGCTGCTGAACCTGGAAACAATGAGCTGACAGTTAATGAAGGGGAAATCATCACCATTACAAACCCGGTAAGAGCTCGGTGTGTTTGCGGCTCTATGGATGTGCGTTCAATCTGACGCCACCTCCCTCCTTAGAAGTCCCTCAGCGCACACCAGGGTTGTAGCTGGTGGTGCTCTAGGCACACAGCGGGAGACGTTCAGTCCCTAAAGGTGGCCGAGGACATGACTGAGTTCACTGTCCTTCTTCTGTGCTGTTTGTTCTAGCAGTTGTAACCCCTCACGCCCCATGTCGTGGATCTGGCATCAGTTCCGGTGCTTTGTCCTCACATCGCAATGCTGTGTGTCTTTAGTAGACTGCAGAAGCAATGGGCTGACGTTCCTAAACCGCTTAGTTGATTGAGTGCTCTCACTGTCCTAAGCCTGGTCCTGAAGTTGGATGACCAGGAAGCAGTGTGGGCTAGCTCCCAGCAGGGTGACGGCATCCCTGGGTGGCACACAGTTCCACATCTTCACAAACCAGCGTTGAACTTGTGTGTGCCCACACTGGCATTCATCTTCACATATGAACCCCCCCCCCCAATAAGCGTCTGTTGTTCAGACTCTTCTGATGGAGAGTTGGCATGTTTCCTTTCATAGGATACAATCTTTATAGTCCATTGAGTTTCTCTTGAAATCTTTGTTGCCAAGATGCTCAGAAGCGAATTTAATACCGTTTTTAAATCACCATAGGCCAAAATCCATTACGTCACTATGGCTAGTTCTTTTTGCTTGTTTTTGTTCTTTTGTTTTTCAAGACAGGATTTCTCTGTATAGCCCTGGCTGTCCTGGAACTCACTCTGTAGACCAAGCTGGCCTCAAACTCACAGAGATCTGCCTGCCTCTGTCTCCCAAGTGCTGGATTAAAGGCATACACCATCACTGCCAGTGGTATGTTTAATTCATTTTATGTGCAACTTTATTGTAGTCATCCTTAAAGCAAGTAATAGTATTGTGAGATGAAGCCCATTTGCAATAGAGTTCTGAGAAAAGTTATCTCCAGTATTCATATTTTATTCAGAAGGAAGAACAGCAGGGGGCAGAGTTAATCTTGTAGTTATAAAATGAGCAAAACTCAACACCACTGCTCCCTTTACAGCCTCCCCAGCTACCACTGAGAGCACAGACTCCTCGCCCCTTGCCTGGGTCCCCTGGACATGTCCTCCCCAGTGTCTGCTACAGCCCCTGGGTTCCACACCAGCTGGGTCCCCTGGACATGTCCTCCCCAGTGTCTGCT